CTCTATTCGAATCACCGAGTTTTTCCCCGAAGACTCGAATATAACGCATATGCATCATGTTCGGGCGAAGACGGTAGCGCTCTAACTTTGTCATTAGCTGTCCTCCTCTCCCAGCTGTGTGTAGGCTCCTTAGGCTCTGAGAGAAGAGGAGGTGTAATGATGATGGCCTTTCAGATGTCTTGTCCTGAGAGGAAGGATGGGCAATGCTGCCCCTTTCAATGTCGTTTAGTCGTGTTCCCCATACACGATAGGTGTCTTTTCCATTTCCAGCTTGTCTGGACGTGATTGCGGTCAGATTCACCCAGCTTTGCACCTCCTCTCTCAGGAAAAGCGCCAATGGAACATACAATATATATTACACTAGGACTTTTGGACTGGGCTCTGGACGTGATTGCGGTCAGATTCATCCAGGTCTGGCCGCAACTGCAGTTAGATACATGTAGGAAAGTGCTGGTAGTATAGTAGTGTGAATGTGGCTAGGCTCCAGTTATTAGGATGTTGTATGGAAATGCTGCATGAATTTGCTCCGATTTTTGGACTAGGTTCATGCAAAGTTTGCATGCAATTCTGCCTACGCAGCCTGACTGACTCTAATTATCTAACAACTTAATAAAACAAAAATGAAACAAAAATGAAGGGATATCCTGAGTGAGCATTGGTAGTCGCACATCAGCAGATGATGGCGTTCACAGCCAGCCAGTCTAATCTATCTATCTATTAATAATTGCCTTGTCTCTATTCCCTATTCCAATGCCCTTCCCTATTCCATTGCCCTGCTCTGCCTCTCTAATCTATTCCCCCTGGTTATCCCCATGCCGTGCCTACTCCCTGTCTATTCTACTGCCGTCTCTTTTCTAATCAGCTGTCTATTCTCCTGATGGCGCTGTCTCTTCTCCTAATGCCCTTGTCTATTCTCCTAATGCCCTTGTCTATTCCATCTCCATGTCTATCCTCCAGCGCCCCCGTGTCTATTCTGTATCCTCCTAATGCCCGTGTCTATTCTCCTAATGCTCCTGTCAAAAATTGTGCTAACGGCTGCCCTTGTCTATTCCATCTCCACATCTATCCTCCTCCTACTTCTCGTGTCTATTCTCTATCCTCCTGCTGCCCGTGTCTATTCTCTATCCTCCTAATGCCCGTGTCTATTCTCCCAATTTTCCTGTTAAAATTTGTGCCGATGGCTGCCCTTGTCTATTCCATCCCCACGTCTATCGTCCCAACGCCCGTGTCTATTCTCTATCCTCCTCATGCCCGTGTCTATTCTCTATCCTCCTACTGCCCGTGTCTATTCTCTATCCTCCTACTGCCCGTGTCTATTCTCCTAAGGTTCCTGTCTATTGTGCTGATGGCCGTTCTTCCCAACGGCTCCCCCGGAGGACGAACGGCCATGCCTACCATTGATTTGATGGGTAGTGCTGCCACTCATTTTTCTCGAGGCATCACCACTACCGATACCTTTTTTTTTTGTTTTTGTTTTTTGTTTTAGATCTCATCCCCTGCGTCACTACCCATACAATCACGAAAGCATTGGCAAAACAAAAATAGAGAAAAAAGAGAGGGAAAAAAAGCAAAAAAAAAAGAGAGAGAAAAAGAGAGAAAAACAAGAGAAAAAAAAAGAGGAAAAAAAGAGAGGAAAAAAAAGAGAGAAAAAAAAGATATAGAGAAAAAAAGAAAGAAAGGAATTGTCAATAATCTGTCTCAAGACTCTCGACCATTTGCATGTCTGTTCCTTTGCCTGTCCTCTCCATCTCTGTCCTACCGTCCTTGTCTATAGCAGTGCCCCTCTCCAATCCCATTGCCCCCTTGCTAATCCCATTGCCCCTTTGCTAATCATTTTGCCCTGTCTATCCTTCTGCCCTCTGCCTATGCTCTGCCTAGTTCCTGGCAATTCCATTCCTGTCCATGTCTATAGCAGTGCCCCTGTCCAATTCCATTGCGCCCGTCCTGCAGAGGATAGGCAGAGGGCAGAAAAGAATTGACTAGACCTGTGGCTAATCCGTTCGCCCTGTCTATCCTTCTGCCCCTCTGGCTATGATATGCCTATTCCCTGCCCCTCCCATTGCTCTGCCTCTTCTCTCCCATGGCCCTGTCCCACGGTCCTATTCCCCCATGGCAGGGAATAGGCAGGGCAGAGGCCATTAACGAGAACAGGCAGAGCAGTGGGAGAGGCAGGGAATAGGCATCAGGGTCTCATTGAATCGAACAGGCAGAGCAGTGGGAGTGGGAGACCACCAGTCCAGACTCCAGGCCACCTACGGAATCAGACACGGCGATTTCAGCCGTCATGATCAGCCACGTAATCCTCGGCCATGTAATCATTGGCCATGTATCGGTCTGGTATATCCATAATGGTCTCTCTCTCTCTCTCTCTCTCTCTCTCTCTCTCTCTCTCTCTCTCTCTCTCTCTCTCTCTCTGCTCCCTCCCTCCCTCTGCCCCCCTCTACATGTAATCATTGGCCATGTAATGATGACCCATGGTGGAATCTCGCACAGCGTTATTCCACCGGTGATCAGCCACGTCATCATCAGCCACGGTGGAATGTATAGGGCAACTCCTTCGGGCACAGAGATGGCTGATCAATGATGGAATGAATAGCAGCATGATGCTAATCATCATGTGTGGGGGTGGGGCTAATCGTTATGTGGCTGATCAAAGGTGGACTGACTGATCATTCTTGGGGCCTGATGAACGGTGGAATTGCTAGTCATCATTATTTGCCTGAGCAGATGTGTGGAATGTTTAATCGTTAAGTGGCCCATTTTGTGGTTTATATCATTATGTGGGTGAAATGGCCAATCATTATCTGGGTGCTCAACGGTGGAGTGGCTAATCATTCATTATATGTGGCTGCTGATCAACGGTGGAATGGCCAATCATTATGTTGCGCATTGACGGTGGAATGGCTAATCAATGGCTAATCATTATGGGGCTGCGCAGAGGCGAAAGGGCTAATCATTATGGGGCTGATTGAAGACGGACAGGTCGAAATCCATACATAGGACAAGGCCAGAGGTGGCTGATCATTACTCGTTACTCGTTGATGTCATCAACGATGGAATGGCCCTCTACACTATTGCACCGTGGCTCATCATTAATTAATTACAAGCTGCTGGAGCTTATGGGCCCCACTCCACTAGTCACCAAATGTGCAAAAATGGCTATGAATCTTCCGCTAGAACATGGGAAGATTCACCGCCATGTTTTTTTTTCTTTTGGGCACATGGGGAGTAGTGTAGAGAGGCCCTCTGTTTCACAAATCCTTTTTTTCACAGGCTTCTCTTCATTAAATTAATTATTTTCAAGTATTAAAAAAAAAGTAAAGGTTGTTGTAGAGGTTGGCTATTACCCTTCTTCACCTGAAAACAATGTACGCTCATTATTGCTGTATTTAGACTGAAAGATACCCCAAACACAGCTATAGTGACGGTACGTTGTATTCGGGTGAAGAAGTATCTTATGACAGCAACGTCGTACTTAAGAAAGTGGGGCTGACACCGCCGAGCCTAGCTCAGTTGGTACACCGAAATGAACTGTTGAAATATGAATCAGACTCAAGTTCGAGTCCAGGTGCAACCACATGAACAGAATATATACTAGGTAGTAAGTTCTGAATTGCCTGGGGCCTGTCAGTTCCAATGCTCGTATCCCTAATAAGGCCGTCGCCCCTTTTGTTTTTCTTGTTTAAAAGTAGGGCTGACATTTTTTCCGTCCCATTCTTTTTGGCTGTCTTTGCTTTCATTTGGCAGGTGACAGGCATGTTGTTGTGCATAGGAGTGTACTCTGTGTTCAATGGATCTAGTAGCCATTACCTAGGATGTCAGATACATCCACTCTGGCTATCTTTGCTTTCATTTGGCAGGTGGCAGGCATGTTGTTGTGCATAGGAGTGTACTCAAATTAGGACTGTGTTCAATGAATCTAGTAGCCATAACCTAGGATGTCAGATACATCCACGGAAGTCCTACTATCAGTATGCCCTTGTTACTTCCAAGGAAACAAAGGATATATTTTTTTTAAAAGAGAAGAAAAGGGTGGAAAAGGGCAAAAAGACAAGAAGCCCGCGTTATGAACGTGTCATCATCATCATCATCAGCAGCAGCAGCATCAGCATCATCATTGCAACCCAGCATCAACTCACGGTCCACCTTCTTCAACTCTCTCCCTGTGTGGTGTTCCGTCTATCTCGTCCGGAGAGGCTGAACGTGGTCAAATTATTACACTACCTATGTCTGCCAAAGACCTTGCTCAGTAAATCTGTTGCTAGCTCAATAGAAAAAGCACTGTGCTGAGTGTGTGCTCAGTAATTCTGTTGCTTGCTCAACAGAAAAAAAGGACATTGCTGAGTAATTCTGTTGCTAGCTCAACAGAAAAGGACGACATTGCTCGGTACTTCTGTTGCTTGCTCAGCAGAAAAAAAGGACACTGCTCAGTAATTCTGTTGCTAGCTCAACAGCGAGGGATTGCTCAGTAATTCTGTTGCTAGCTCAACAGAAAAGGAGGACATTGCTCAGTAATTCTGTTGCTTGCTCAACAGAAAAGGAGGACGTTAATCAGTAATTCTGTTGCGTGCTCAGGAGAAAAAGTACATTGCCTAATAATTCTGTTGCTACCTCAAGAGCGAGGGCAGGGCTCAGTAATTCTGTTGCTAGCTCAACAGAAAAGGAGGACATTAAAAAAAAAAAAGAAAAAAAAAAGAAAAAAAAAAAGAGGAGGACATTGAACAGTAATTCTGTTGTCCTCAACAGAAAAGAAGGACATTGCTCAGTTATTCTGTTGCTTAACACAAGAAAGGGACTTGCTGAGAAATGACACGAATTCTGTTGCCGTGACTCAGGAAACCCCCCGCCTGCCAAAGAAGACCGGCCTTGTTCTGTGACCCGCGAGCTGTTGTTGATCTTGCTCCGCCTCCACATATGCCCACAAGATGTCAGTTTTTTTGCAATCCTGTTCTTCTGTGACACGACCGGAGTCGGTTTCGTGTGCCACCCTCTCGCCTCTTGCGGGCGATGCTCAGAAGGTTGGTGATTGCGCAACCGAAAGTCGGTGTCAATCTCGGTGCCAAAGATTGACGATTGCAATGACTGGCTCGAGCCACAGCAGTTCAGCTGTTGGGATGATTGGATTCGCAAGCCATTCACTGCTGCCTCGAACGGAACGGTGCTGCTGCTGCGGCTTCTCTGGCCAGGAAAGAATTGGATTGCCGTTTGAAAAATGCGGTGAGAACTGTCGATATCTGCCCAGAGGGCTTGGGAATGCTGCTCGGCAGCCATCAATAATACCGCTTACGAGGAGGAGAAGGGGTCCTTATGGGCATGCTAGGACGCTTGATCAGGAATGCCCCCCCGTGCGCTCACTGCCACGTGCACGTCAGTGCCAAAGGCGTCAGTGGCGGTCTCATTCAAGAAGAACCTGCAGCCTTGATCTTCTGCCCCTGGTTCACGAAAGAAGTGCTGCCAATTGCATTTGCTACGACAATTGGTTCCCTCCACCAACGTGGCGGCCTCCTGTGCGGCGATCATGGTCAACATCCGTTATTGTGCGATGCAGCATTGCCACCGCAGCGGCAGTTCTAGACGATGATGATGACGAGAACATGCTCCAGCAAGAAACTTGCGGTGCGCCCTCTTGCTTTGTTTTGTTTCCTCTTTTTGTGTTTCATATTTTTTCTTTGCCTTTCGTTGCATAAATTTGCGGTTATGCCCCCCCGCCCCCCCAAAAGGTGGGCTTTTGTGTGCTGTGCCCAGTCCCATGTGCAACTTACCGTAGTGCTCGGGGAAACAGGATGACTCCGAAGATGTCCGAATGATTGGTGTGCTCCGATGTCGGTTGTCGGATCTGCCAAAAAACGTTTTGCTGTACCCTGATACCAGGACTTCATCTAAGTTATTGGCGTACCGGGGGGGGGGGGGGGGGGGGCAATTTTTGTTATGCCTACAGATGGCAACATTGCCACCGCCCCCACATATATTTGGGGTGCCATCTCTGTCCCCTCCCCCCCTCCGCCCCAGATTTTCAGAAAGGCGATGAAAAAGAGTGCGAAAAAATGCAAGTGCCGTCAAACCACTCCATACTCCTTGTCCGCCACCTTCTCCTCCTCGCTCTCCTCGTCACTCTCCTCCTCGCTCTCCTCCTCGCTCTCCTCCTCGCTCTCCTCCTCGCTCTCCTGCTCACTCTCCTCCTTGCTCTCCTCCTCTCCATGTTAGAGAAAGGCAATAGAAAGAATGTGAAAGGAAGGGCTATCAAAAACTCCTCCCCCTCCTCCGACTCCTCCTGCCCCCTATGTTGAGAAAGTAAATGAAAAGAACGTGAAAGCAAGTGCCATCTCCCCTCCCCTATCCTCCCCCCTTCCCTCCTCCCCTCCCCTTCCGTCCCCTCCTTCCCACATTGAGGAGGGCAATGGGAAATGGAGGACCGTGAAAGCAAGCGCCATGTAACCTCCCTCTCCTCCTCCCCCTCCTCCTCCTTCCTCTCGGGGGGAGACAGGAAATGAAATGAATAAACGCGAAAGCGGCATCTCCCTTCCCCAGGTGGAGAAAGACAACGGACTCTCCAACTGGAGATGGTACGGCAGTTTGGATTTCTTTGCGCTATGAAATTCAATTCGCAAAGTTGCATGTTGGCCTGCAGATGCTTGTGTGCTTGATGACTAATGGCGTGGCTCTTCCATGGGGCATACCTGGCACGGGATTGGGGCACAATGGGGCCTCTGTTGGCCTGGCCTTCGCCCCAGGTGCAATGCAAATTTTGTCGCCTTGGACCCGATACCAAGTACCCCTCGAACTGTACCTGGGCCCGGACACAATGGGACTGGGTACAGGTCTCAGTCTCATGGGGCCTTTGTGCTGTGAACAGTCCCGTTGTGCGGACCCTTTATGGAGGGGATCAACCGAAAACCGTTCGTTTCCAAACACTGAGTGAGGGGTCCCGAACAATCGTCATGATCTAGATTATAATTTAAAACTCAAAGTCCTTTGGGACATCCGTTAAAAGGATTGGAACCTAGGCTACCAGAGTGGCCCGCGTCCATTTGCCCGACTGGGCCAAAAAGAAATAAAAAATATTTTTTAATTAAAAATTTTATTTTAAATTTGGTACAGAATTTCGATGTGACCCCGAGGCAAAAGTTGTTCAGTTTAGTTTTCTGCATAACATAGTTTTTTTTCCGGATTTCTTGGATTTCTTTTTTTTTTTTTTTTGGCTGGGAACTACCCTGGTCCTTGCCCGGCCGGGCCGACCGGGAAAATAGGGTGACCCGGGCGGCCCGGCTGGTAGACTAGATTGGAACGATACAGAGAAGATAGATTATTAGCATGACCCCTGCGCAAGGATGACACACAAAAATCGAGAAATGGTCCAAAATTTTCGTATTCAAAAATAGAGAAAAAAAAAAACAATTTAACACTCAACGGTTGGTCGGACGGGCCGTGTTTGTATCTCCGTACCTGGGACCCAGTAGACTGACCACTGTACCCAGTACCATTTTGCCAAGGTACCCGGGACCCGCTAGACTCAGGATTGTACCTGGGCCCGGTCACAATGGGACTACCAGGTAAAGTGCTAGCTTAACTTCTGACTTCTAAGTCTAGTGAGGCCTTGGTACCTTGGCACACTGGAACTGGGTACCTTGGCCCAAAAGGGACTGGGTGTCTTTGCCAAATGGGACTGGGACACCTTGGCCAAATGGGACTAGACACCTCACAATTGGTTAACAGGGACCCCCACTTTTCAGCCCCAGTCCTGAATGCCTGAAAAGAGCGAATTTTGCATGAAAACACACTTTTGCCTTTGGGGTTTTAGGCCCCTTTGATCCATTTTTTCACTTTTTAAAAAAAATTTAAGTTTTAACTGTTGGTTTATTTGGTCTCCACTCTGTCGACTGACTGCTGACAAGTCTGGCTTGAAAGGTGTCGGACGTTTGTTATAATGCCCCTGAAAAAGTCTACTGGCTAGCTTTCCCGGGGCGCTCGGCTGGGCACGCCCGGCCGGGCGCCCCGGGCACCCTGCCCGGGGTGGGGTGCCTCCTGGGGTACCCCGGGCATGAAAAAAATCCACTCAGATTTTTTTTTTTTTTTTTTTTTTTTTCACGGGCATGGCCTTGCTGCGCTTTGGCAGTACGATCCAAATCCGGCCTCTTTCTTTTTTTTGCTGCATGTCGGATTCTGGGTGTTGAGAGGGGGGGGGTTGCAGGAGGGGGGAGGAGGGAGGAGGCAGGGTATGGAAGAGTTGGGAGGAGGAAGGCGATGGAGAGGGAGGGAGGAGGGAGGCGATGGAGATGGAAGCAGGAGGGAGGAGGCAGGGCATGGGCGATGGAGATGGAAGCATGAGGGAGGAGGCAGGGTATGGCGGAGTATGGAGGAAGGAGGCGACGAAGAGGGAGGGAGGAGGGAGGCGATGGACAGGGGGGGAGGAGAGAAACGATCGAAAGACAGGGAGGAGGGTGGCGATGGAGATGCAAGGAGGGAGGAGGGAGGCGATGGAGATGGAAGCAGGAGGGAGGATGCAGGGTATGGCGGAGTATGGAGAAAGGAGGCGATGGACAGGGAGGGAGGAGGGAGGCGATGGACAGGGGGGAAGGAGAGAAACAATCGAAAGACTGGGAGGAGGGTGGCGATGGAGATGCAAGGAGGGAGGAGGCGAATGAGTGCAGAGAGTAACTGCGCTAAGCGACTAGTAGCGGGGTACAAAGCGCACCCAGGAAAAGAGAAGTTTACACTGTAGATGCCAACGCGGAAGAAGAAGAAAAAGAAACAAAGAACAACAAGATGAAACAAAGAAAAAGAATAGGAACTTGAGAAGAGAAGCAGGGACTACTAAGAAGTTGAAAGTTACTCGAAATGAAGACGAAAAGAAAGCAGAAGAAGAAGAAGAAGATGATGATGAAGAAGAAGAAAGACTAAAGAAGAATAATAGAAGAAAAAGAAAAAAAAGCTCACCTTCGTGCCGTTCGTGCGTGGCACAACGGTCTCCAATGGCGGAGGAAACAATGGCGCAGCAGACGCGACGACGGCATGCGGAGGAGGTTACACAGCAGAGGTGAAGATGGCGGCTGCAGCATGATGACGACTGCCACATGTGGTCTCGCGGGGCGGGAAGGGCATGACTGGCAGGGCGGGGCGGGAAGGGCGCGACTGGCAGGGCGGACCATAGGCGTGAGCGGGGTGGTCAGGTTTCAAATTTGAAACCTGGAGCTGCCCTGCACCGTCGATCTGGGACGATCAACTGTCCAGGTTGCAAAAAAAAAAAAAAGAGTGAAACGTGCCCTTACCGGCCCTGAAAAAAAAACGACTGACCGCAAAAATTTTGTTTAGCATCCGGGCGAACCAACGATGGCGCAATTTTTTTTTTTCGAGGCCTGTTTGGCCTTGGCGCTGAGGAGGTCCGGGAGGCGGACCGGGGGGGTCGCCCGGCCGAGCGCCCCGAGCGTCATTCCGGGCGCCGTGGGGTACCCCGGGCGCCCGGGTTGGAAAGCTAGTCTACTGGGTCCTGGGGACAAAAAAAAGAGGTTGCATGAGGGACTGGGACACAGTGCAAGGGCCCAGCTGGTGTTTTTTTCCTTTGGGCATGGGCCTCATAACTGAAGTTTTCCCTTTTTTTTCTTCATTTTTTTAAAATTTTTCATTTCTTTCGTACTTTTCTCAGCCTGCAACTTTTTTTACTGCTGTTCTGGCATGCTGACCCTTCTAACTACGTTTGCCTTCTTCCTCCTTTTCTCTGGAGTCACCAGGTACTATCTTCTCCTCCCGCACGCCGTCACTTGTATTTTTTCCGCTTCATCCAATCGCGTTTGTCTGCTTGCCATTCCCTTGCTTATGCCTATGCTCCCCCTTTTCTTTTCTTTTTTTTTTTTCTTTTTTCGGGATGCTCCCCCTTTTCTGAATTGTCTGCCTGAAGGATTATTTGAATTCAATAATTTAATAAATTGATCTGAAAAACAGTATCACCCTCCCTCTCCCTTTTTCTCTTCCCGTATCTGACATGAAGTAAACGAGTGCCATCTGCTGCTCTGTGGGCACAAGCAGATGACAGGACTCACCACCACTCAGAGAAGGGACCCTACCGTCTTCCCCGAATGGTCATCATCGCTGAATCTGGACCAAAGGTTGTCCCAAATACAGGCATAATCACTGTACGTTCTATTCGGGGGAAGACGGTAGTAGTCGCCATTTTTGGCGGTCTTTATAATGAACACCACAACAAAGCTTCGTTCATAGGGCACACCGGACAGAGGGAAAAAATACTTGGGAAAAAGGGAAGAAAGGCCGGGGTGGGAGGGAGGGGAGG